TAATTTTTTTTTCCTTTATAATAATCGAGAGCATTCCATAAGCCATAAAGCATTTGTAAACGAAAAGTGTACACATATACAGGTACAGTGATGAGGGTATAAATGTACACTTGTTTGTGCATACAAACATGAAAAATTACGTTTAAGCCTGGTAGCATGTCAAATAAAAATTAAAAGTGTGTTCCTCTTGTTCTGAAACCTGGCATAGTATGTCACTTTGTTAGTGGGGGATGCCCTCCGGCCTCCAGGATTAATGGTTCAAAGTCTAAAGAGTTTACTTTCTTCTTCCCCTGTAGTAATTAATTTGTAAATTTAATGTAATTAATTGCCCTCATTTAAAAACATAGAAAAATTAAAGAAAAGGTCATGTGAACAACTGAACATTAAAAACTAGTTAATGATGAGTGAGAAACACAATTTCAATTCTAAAATGTAAGGTTAATTATTTTAAAATGAAACTTTTTAATTTATACTTTAAATAGGTTCAATCTCATTTATTATAATATTTGTAATTAATTTTACATAAATTTTTATATAAGATGATAAGTTTTAATTTCTTATCTTATAAAGTTGATAAATTTTAGCTTCTCACCTTATATTATGATATTTTTAACTCATTTTTTATACGAATTGAAAAAAATAATATTAATTTAATATCAAGTTATAATATTTTATTAATTCTGTTAACTGACTGTTAGTTCTGTTAGTTGACTATTAGTTCTGTTAGTTGACTGTTAGTATCCGTTAATATTCCGTTAGTATTTCGTTAATGGAATTAATAAATAAAATTAAATTTAAATTTTATATTTTTTATAACAGAATGCTAATAGATGTTAATAGTTAACTAACAGAACTAACAGAACGTTATAACTTGATATTATGTGAGGGTTATTTTCTTCAATTAATATCGGTGAATGACTAAAAATATCATAATAAAAGATAAAAAGTTAAAACCCATATATTTTGTAAGGTGAAGGGCTAAATGTTGATTTTTGCCAAAGAAAGTGTGACGAAGGATGTTAAAGGGAATTAACGTTAATTTTAAGTATGGTTACCATAACACGTGAAAATGTTAAAGATGGTGTAACATTGTCT